AATTTAGGTGTAGTGATGCTAGGATAAAACTAGATAGATTTGAAACGATTGCTCTCTCTCTACCTATTTTATCGGTCTGTTCTCTCTTCTACCTATCTATTCTATCTCCTCCTCCTCCACTCTCTCTTCTCTCTCCTCTCTCTCTCTCTCTCTCTCTCCTTCTCTCTCTTTCTCTCCCTCGTCTATCTCCTACTCTCTCCTTCTCTCTCTCTCTCCTCCCTCTCTCTTCCCTTTCCTTCACTCACCTCTTTCCTTCTAACACCGTAGGTCATATACCTGTTGCATTATCCTGATAATATTAAGGTGCTGAAATTAGGTGTAGTAATGCCTAGGCTAAAACTAGATAGATTTGAAACGATTGCTCTCTCTCTACCTATTTATATGCTCTCTCTGTCTACCTATCTATTTATTCCCCCCCCTCCCTCTCTCTCTCTCTCTCTCTCTCCTCTCTATAATACTATATATATATATATATATTATATATATATAATATATATATATATAGTAATATATATATATTATATATGTATATATATATATATATATATATATATATATATATACATACATCCCTCTCTCTCTCTCTCTCTCTCTCTCTTCCTCTCTCTATATATATCTATATAATATATATATATATATATATATTATATAATAGTATATATATATCTACAGAATACCGGGGCAAGAAATATGTAAATCCGAAGTAACATAAAATATTATTATTATTTTCCAACCAAAAGATATTTAAAAAAAAGTAAAAGAACATCTACTGAAGTATCAATGACTCGAACACGAATATTTAATCAGTTTATGATATTAGTGTTCTGTGTAATTTCATTTCACAAGCATTGCATAATATCTATGTTCACAGCATCTTATTGCACAGCGTAAACACTATATAAGTATAAAATAGAATAGAATCTCCTCCTCCTTTATCTCTCTCTCTCTCTCTCCTCTCTCTCTCTCTCTCTCTCTCTCTCTCTCTCTCGTCTCTCCTCTTCTTCTCTCTCTCCCTCTCTCTCTCTCTCTTCTCTCTCTCTCTCTCTCTCTCTCTCTTCTCTCTCTTCTTTCTTCCTCCTTCTTCTCCTCTCTCCCTCTTCCCTCCCTCCCTCCCTCCCTCCCTCTCTCTCCTCTCATCTCTCCTCTCTCTCCTCTCTCTTCCTCACCGTCTCTCTCTCATCTTCTCTCTCTCTCCTCTCCTCATACCGGTCGTCCTCCTCTCCGTCTCCCTGTCTCGCCCTCTCTCTTCACCCTCACCTCCTCCGCCTCACCTCTTTTTTCTATCTTTTCTTTTTTCTTGTTTGTTTTTTTTTTCGCTGTTATGAACCTGTTATGATGTTTATACTCTTCTTTGTTTGTTCTTTCCTGTCGTTTTTTTGTCTGCATTTTCTCCCTCCTTCTTTCTCTCTCTCACCCCTCCCTCCCTTCCCCCGCCCTCTCTCTCTCTCTCTCTCTCTCTCTCTCTCTCTCCTCTCATCTCTCTCCCTCTTCTCTCTCTCTCTCTCCTCTCTCTCTCTTCTCTTCTCTCTCCCTTCCTTTCTCTCTCTCTCCTCTCCTCTCTCTCTCTCTCTCTCTCTCTCTCTCTCTCTCTCTCTCTCTTCTCTCTCTCNATCTATCAATCGTCTGTATCCACTTACATTATCTTTTTCTCTCTCTTCGCCCTCATTCCCCCTCCATTGTAGAATATTCGTCATCCTTAAATATCTAACGTGTCCGTAACCTCTTCTGACCTCCCTTGCCCAACCTTGATCTTCCTTTACCTTCTTTGACCTTCCTTGCCTCCCTTGACCTTCCTTACTTCTCTTAGCCTCCCTTGATCTTTTTTTGACCTCCTTTGATAATCTTTGACCTTCCTTGACCTTCCTTAACTTCTCTCGACCTCCTTTGATCTTCTTTGACCTCCCTTGATAATCTTTGACCTCCCTTGACCTTCCTTAACCTCTCTCGACCTTCCGCAGGGACGACGCGAGTGGAGTGGCCTTTGACCTCGGTTCAGCGCGTGTGTGTGGCCACGGGAGGCGAGGTCGAGGACGAGGGGAAAATCTTCATCATTCAGACTAGACCGTGAGTTTTTGGGGTATTTTGGGCGTGGTCATATGTGGCGTGTGGTTGCTTGTTGTTGTTTTGTGCGTGTTGTTGTTATTGGTCTGTTGTATTTGTTGTTGTTTTTTGTTTTGTTGTTTCGTGTCGGTTTTTTGTTGTGTCGTGAGATGTGTTGTTGTTTTTATTTATGTTGGTATTTTTTGTTGTTGTTGTTTGAGTGATGTGTTGTTGTTGGTTGGTGGTTTGTTGTTGTTTGCGTGATGTGTTGTTTGTGTTGTTTGTGTGATGTGATTTCTTATTTTGTGTTTTTTGTTGTTGTTGCTGTTTTGTTGATGGTTTAGTTTTTCTTTTTTTTGTTTTTGTTGTTTGTTTTGTTTTGTGATGTGCTGCTTCTGTTGTTGTTGTTTGCGTGTGTTGTTGTTTCTGTTATTGTTGTTGTCATGTGATTTTATTATTATTATCATTATTATTATTGTTATTATTTTTTTTTATTTTATTTTATTATTTATTATTATCATTTACTATTATTATTTCATTATTATATTATTATCATTATTATTATTGTCATTATTATATAATCATATTATATAATTATTATTATATCATTATTTTATAATTATTATTATTATTATTATTCATATTATTATTATTATTATTATTATTATTATTATTATTATTATTATTATTATTATATTATTACCACTACTACTACTACTACCGTTATCATTATTATCATTATTATTATTATTACCACTACTACTACTACTACCGTTATCATTATTATCATTATCAGTATTTATTGACACTGTCCCTACCATTGTTATCTTTGATATATATGATTTTTCATCCTTAATTACTTCATTACTTACTTTTCATATTCTTTCGTATTCCTTTTTCTCGCGTCTCCTCTTTTCCTCATGTTCGTTTTCTTATTAATTTCTCCTTTTCTTGTCTTTTTCTCTTCTCCACCATTTTTATTTAATTTTCTATTTCCCGTTATCTTTGTTTTTTTCTTTCCTTTGTTTTATGTATTCTACCTTTTTTTCTCTCTTTTTACAATTTCTTTTCTCTTTTTTCCGTCTTTATTTTTTTTCGTTAAATGTATCTTCTTCCTCTCTTCTCTCCATTACTTTCTGTTCTTCACTTATTTCTTTTTTTATTATTCATGTCTTCTTTTCGCCTCTCTCTGGTCCTTTTCTTTTCCTCTCTCTTCTTCTCTTCTTCCTTTCTCCTTTCTCCTTCTCTTCCTTTTTATCTACCCCTTTCTTTTCTCTTTCCTTCTTCCTTTCTTCTTTCTCCTTCTCTTCCTTTCTCCTTTCTCCGCTTTCTTTTCTCTTCTTTCCTTCTTCCTTTCTCCTTTCTCCTTCTCTTCCTTTTCATCTACACCTTTCTTCTTCCTTCCTTCCTTCCCTTCCTCTTTTCCTTCTCTCCTCTCCTTTTATTCCCTCTCTCTCTTCCGCTTCCTCCTATTCTCTTCCATTCACATCTCTCCTATCCAATCTCCTTTTCTCCTTCTTCCTCTCTCTTTCATTCCTTCCCTCTTCCCTCTCCTCCTATCTCCTCCCTCTCTCCTCCTTTCACCTCTCTTCTTCCTAATTTTCCTTCCCTCTTCCCTCTCCTCCTATCTCCTCTTTCTCTCTCCTCCTTTCCCCTCTTCTCCCCCTGCCTTTCCTTCCCTCTTCCTTCTTTCCCCTTCCCTCTTCCATCTCATCCAATCTCCTCTCTCTCTCTTTCCTCCTCCTCTCCCCTCTCTTCTCCTCCTTTCCCCTCCCCTCTCCTCCTTTCCCCTTCCCTCTTTCCTCTCCTCCTATCTCCTCTCTTCTGTCTCCCCCTTTCCCTTCTTCTCTTCTCCTTTCCCCTTCCCTCTTCCCTCTTCTCCTATCTCCCCTCTCTCTCCTCCTCTTTTCCCCTCTGCTCCAATCTCCTCTCTCTCCTCCTCCTTTCTTCTCTCCTCTTCCTCTTTTCCCCTCCCTTCTTTCGCCTTTCCCTTCCCTCTTCCCTCTCGTCCTACTCCTCTCTCTCTCTCTCCTTTCCTTTCCCTCTTCCCTCTCCTCCTATCTCCAATCTCTCTCTCTTCTCCTTTCCCTTCCCTCTTCCCTCTCATTCCAATTTCCTCTCTCTCTCTCCTTTTCCCCTTTCCTCTTTCCTCCTTTCCTTCCCTTTTCCTCGCCTCCTACCTCCTCTCTCTTCTCTCTTCTTTCCTCTCTCCTCTTCCTCCTTTCCCTCCCCTCTTCCGCTCCTCCTACCTCCTCTCTCTTTTCTCTCCTCCTTTCCCTTTTCCTCTTCCTCCTTTCCTCTGCTCCCTTCCCTCTCCTCCTATACTCCTCTACTCTCTCTTCCTATCTCCTCTCTCTCCTCCTATCTCCCTCTTCTCTCCTCCTATCTCCTCTCTCTCCTCCTATCTCCTCTCTCTCCTCCTATCTCCTTCTCTCCTCCTATCTCCTCTCTCTCCTCCTATCTTCCTCTCTCTCCTTCCTTTTCTCTCCTTCTATCTCCTCTCTCTCCTCCTATTCTCCTTTCTCTCCTCTTATCTCCTCTCTCTCCTCCTATCTCTCTCTCTCCTCCTATCTCCTCTATCTCCTCCTATCACCTCTCTCTCCTCCTATCTCCTCTCTCCTCCTATTTCTCTATCTCCTCCACCTCTCTCTCCCTCCTATCTCCCCTCTCTCTCTCTCTCTCTCCTCTTTCCTGTTTCCTCTTCCTCCTTTCCCTTTCCTCCTCCCTCTCCTCCTATCTCATCTCTCTCCTCCTATCTCTTCTCCTATTCCTCCTTTATCTTCCCTCTTCCCTCTCCTCCTACCTCCTCTCTCTCTCTCTCTCCTCCATCTCCTCTTATCTTTCCCCTCTCTCCTCCTATCTCCCCTCTCCCTCTTCCTCCTACCTCCTCTCTCTCTCTCTCTCCTCCTATCTTCCTCCTCTCTCTTCCTTCCTATCTCCTCTCTCCTCCTATCTCCTCTCTCTCCTCCTATTCTTCTCTATCTCCTTCCTACCTTCCTCTCTCTCCTCCTAATCTCCTTCTCTCTCTCTCTCTCTCTCTCCTCTGTTCCCGTTTCCTCTTCCTCCTTTCCTTTCCCTTCCCTTCTCCTCCTACCTCCTATCTCTCTCCTCCTCTCTCTCTCTCCTCCTTTCCCCTCTCTCCTCCTATCTCCCCTCTCTCCTCCTATCTCCTCTCTCTCCTCCTATCTCCTCCTATCTCCTCTCTCTCCTCTATCTCTCCTATCTCCTCTCTTTCCTCCTATCCCTCTCCTTCCCTCTCCTCCTACCTCCTCTCTCTCTTTTTCCTCCTTTCCCTTCTCCTCTTCTTCCTCTCCTCTTCTCTCTTCTCTCTCTCTCTCCACCTTTATTGCTGGAGACAAATGTTCACTCCATCAGCGTAATGGCAAACACTCTCTCCCCCTCTCTCTTTCCTCCTTTGCCTTCTTCTCTTCCTCCTTTCCCTTCCCTCTTCCCTCTCCTCCTATCTCCTATCTCTCTTCCTCCTATCTCTCTCTCTCTCCTCCTTTCCCTTCTCCTCTTCTTCCTCTCCTCTTCTCTCTCCTCTCTCTCTCTCCACCTTTATTGCTGGAGACAAATGTTCACTCCATCAGCGTAATGGCAAACACTCACCTGTTAAAGTGATAACGACGGATGACTCTGACACTTGACACCCGGGAGACGAGGATTAGGAAGGAGATGAGGAAGAGAGAAAAGAGAGTGGGAGATAAATGAGGGAGAAGGAGGGATGGGAAGAAGAAGGGGGGGGGGAAGAGATGAGGAGATGAGGAAGAGAGAAAAGAGAGTGGGAGATAAATGAGGGAGAAGGAGGGATGGGAAGAAGAAGGGGGGGTGGGGAAGAGATGGAGGAAGAGATGAGGAGATGGAGAGGTGGAGGAAGATATAAGGAGATGAGGAAGAGAGAAAAGAGAGTGGGAGATAAATGAGGTAGAATGAGGGATGGGAAGATAGGAGGGCGGTAGAGATGAGGAAGAGATTCAGGAATGAGGCAAGAGAGAAAGAGAATGGGAGATAAATGAGGGAGGAGGAGGGATGGGGAAGAAGAAGGGGGGAAGAGATGAGGAGAGGAGGAAGAGAAAAGAGAATGGGAGTAAATGAGGGAGGAGGAGGGATGGAAGAAGAAGGAGGAGGGGGGTGAGAGATGAGGAGATGAGGAAGAGAGAAAGAGAATGGGAGATAAATGAGGGAGAAGGCAGGGATGGGAAGAAGAAGGGGGGGGAGATGGAGGAAGGTATAAGGAGATGAGGAAGAGAGAAAAAGGTAACAATGAGAAGGAGGGATGCAAGATAGTGGGGGGGGGGAGAGATGGAGGAAGAGATGAGGAGATGAGGAAGAGAGAAAAGAGCAGTGGGAGATTAAATGAGGAGAAGGAGGATGGGAAGAAGAAGAGGGGCTGGGGGGGAGAGATGGAGGAAGAGAGGAGTAGAGAGAAAAGAGAATGGGAAATAAATGAGGGAGAAGGAGGGATGGGAAGAAGAAGGGGGAAGATATAAGGGAGATGAGGAAGAGAGAAAAGAAAATGGGAGATAAATGAGGAGAAGGAGGGATGGGAAGAAGAAGGGGGGAGAGATGGAGGAAGAGATCAGGAGATGAGGAAGAGAGAAAAGAATTGGGAGATAAATGAGGGAGAAGAGGGATGGGAAGAAGAAGGGGGGAGAGGATGGAGGAAGAGATCAGGAGATAAAGAAGAAGAAAAAGAATGGGGATAAATGAGGGAGAAAGGAGGGATGGAAGAAGAAGGGGGGAGAGATGAGGAGATGAGGAAGAGAGAAAAGAGAATGGGAGATAAATAAGGAGGAGGAGGGATGGGGAAGAAGAAGGGGGGGGAGATGGAGAAGAGATGAGGAGATGAGAAGGTGAGGAAAGATATAAGAAGATGAGGAAGAGAGAAAAGAGAATGGAGATAAATGAGGGAGAAGGAGGAATGGGAAGAAGAAGGGCGGGGAAGAGATGAGGAAGAGATCAGGAGATGAGGAAGAGAGAAAAGAGGAATGGGAGATAAAATGAGGGAGGAGGAGGGATGGGAAGAAGAAGGAGGGGGGGGGGGGGAGAGATGGAGGAAGAGATGAGGAGATGAGGAAGAGAGAAAAGAGAATGGGAGATAAATGCGGGAGAAGGAAGGATGGGAAGAAGAAGGGGAGGAAGAGATGAGGAGATGAGGAAGAGAGAAAAGAGAATGGGAGATAAATGAGGGAGGAGGAGGGATGGGAAGAAGAAGGGGGGACGAGATGGAGGATGAGATGAGGAGATGAGGAAGAGAGAAAAGAGAATGGGAGATAAATGAGGGAGAAGGAGGGATGGGAAGAAGAAGGGGGAGGAAGAGATGAGGAAGAGGAGAATGGGAGATAAATGAGGAAGGATTAGGGATGGGGACGAGATGGAGGAAGAGATGAGGAAGATGAGGAAGAGAGAAAAGAGAATTAGAGATAAATGAGGAGGAGGAGGTATGTTGGGGAAGATATAGGGAAGATGGGAGGGTGCGGAGGGAAGAGGGGGGAAGGAGAGGGGAGAGGGTGAAGGATGGAAGGAAGAGGAAGGAGAGGATGAAAAAGTAAAAAAAAGGAGGGAAGGGAGGGAGGGGTGGAGGTGAAGGAAGAGGAAGGAGAGGATTGAGAAGAGGGAGATTGCGAGGAAGAGCGAAGGAGGCGTGAAGGGAGCGAGAGGAGGGAGAGGGGTGAGAGGTGAAAGGGAGGGAAGGAGAGGAAGAGGGAGAAGGAGTGAGGAAGGGGAGAGGGAGAGGGAAGAGGAGAGGGAGGGGAAGAAAATAGGGAAGATAGATAGATAGATAGAGAGAGAGAGAAAGAGAGAGAGAGAGAGAGAGAGAGAGAGAGAGAGAGGAGATGAGAGAGAGAGAGAGAGAGATCGAAGGTGAGAGAGACTGGAAGAAAGATATAGGAGATAGAAAGTAAATCAGTTTTATAGTGTCGAGCATCTCTTAAATCCGGCTCATCTCGGGTGTAGATGACAGCATCCCGGAAAGTTTTGTGGCTCGAGGATAGATAGATAGATAGATAGAGAGATAGATAGATAGAGAGGGATAGATAGATAGAGAGATAGAGAGATAGATAGAGAGATATAGATAGAGAGATAGAGAGATAGATAGATAAATAGATAGATAGAGAGAGAGAGAGAGAAGGAGAGAGAGAGAGACAGACAGACAGAATAAAAAGTAATGAATAACAGAGCAAATCTTTTTAGTTCCTATATCCTTTTTTTTTTTTTTTTTTCGCTTTCTCTTTATCTTTCGCTCTCTCTCTCCTGCTGTTAGTCAGTCTATCTAGTTATGTTCCTTCTTTTCTCTCTCTCTTTATCAGTTCTTCCCTCCTTTCTTTCTTCATTATACAATTTATGATTATTATCTACATATCAGACTTTCTTATTTTAATTGTTTACTTATTTATTCATTAGTTTTTTTATTTGTTTGTTTATTCATTTGTTTGTTTTGAGCTAAAGCATCACATTTTCAGGTTCTTAAGTTAAGGCTTAATGTGACTGCTATAAAATGCTATATTTGATGTGATAATTGCGCTTATTTGTGCATATTTAGTGTATAAACTGCAATGAATATTTTTGTGTCAGTATGGTCATTTTTACCCCTTTAATAATTCATAGTTTTGTATTTTTCATATGTGTAATATAATTCTCTTTTTGATATCTGAACATCCTGGAAGGTGGGCTATATTTTTCTGAATAAAAGTATATTTCATTTATAGTCTCCTTTTCTATGAGATATACCTGTATTACAAGTGATATGCTTTTTTGTAAATCATTTTTTGATAAAATTAGAGAGGTGTCGGAAGTCGTTCTTCAAATTTTCTTTTAATAACATTATTTTCTTCTCCACTTCCTTCTTTTCCTTCCTTTCCTTTCCCTTCCCCTTTCTCTTCTTCCCTTCCCCTTTCTCTTCTTCTTTACCTGCCCCTTTCTCTTCTTCCTTTCCCTGTCCCTTTCTCTTCTTCCTTTCCCTGCCCCTTTCTCTCGTTCTCCTACTTGTTTCTTTCTCTCCCTCTCCTCATATATTGTTGGAGACGAATGTCCTCTCCATCAGCGCAGTGTCAGTCGCTTTATCGTTAGAGCGATATCAGGAAATTTTGAATGACGACTTCCGAATACCTCGATTTTGACGAACTTTCCCTTTTGAGCCAATTTTCCCCCTTTGCCGCCGCCGAGACTTCCCCTGAGTAACCGCCCCCCTTCCGCAGGTGCCACCCGTGCGGCGAGGCCTATCTCTACTTCTTCTCGCCCGAACTCAGCTCCCTGCTGGAGGGGCTTCACGAGGCCGTCTCCAAGCTGATCTCGGCCTCGGCAGCGGACGACGTCTCCCTCATCAGCGACCTGTCGGAGCTCTCGGGCGCCCTCAGCTCCGTGGTGGTGTTGCCTCAGCGTCTGCCGGACCCGCCCAAGATGCGCAAGTCCACCTCCGTCATAGATCTGGCTCAGATTCACGAGCTGCAACCTCTGTGCAACATCCACACTCCGACCCGCCTGAGCAGCAGTCAGTGCAACCTGGCCGAGGAGCTGCGAGGAGAGCCGCCCTTGCCGGGCCGCCTGCTGGGCCACTCCCGCCGCCGCTCGATGAGCGAGACGAACCTCGCCAAACTCTGCCTTGACGAGACCGACGAAGAGCTCGAGTCGCGTGACGACGACCTCGAAGACGCTGACCTCCGCCAGGCAGACCTCCCGAAGGACCGCACGTCCTCCTCTGGGTCCTACAACTCCTACCGGTCCACAGACTCCGGCGTCCGGCTCTCAGCCTCCCCCTCCACGCACTGCGACGGCGGCCGCTACATGTCCGAGAACGCCGCCCGCCGCTTCGTCACCAAGTCCGACTCGATAGACTCCGGCGTCAGAACGAAGGACGAGAACAGGGAGGTGGCAGCGGAGGGCGACGAGGCCAAGAAGGCGGATCCCCAGGCAGGGGACGGAAAGCAGGAGTCCTCCAGCCGGCGCGGCATGAGCGCCCTGGAGGAGGAGCCGGACGTGGAGACCAAGGTGGGCGCGTGGTGCCTGCAGAGCGCAAGGGCCAGGAAGTCCTTCTTCGCCAAGAATCTAAACGTGACGTGTGCGGCTCACAAGGAGAGAAAGAAAGGGAGTTTGAGCAGGACCATGTCGGAGTCCTACAAGGAGGTGACCGACAAGCATGACGAGTTCAGGCGGCTCTCGGAGTTCACGACGTCCTCAAAGGCGTGCACAGTGTATGAGGAAATAGTCGACGTCCTGAAGCCTCTGACCCAAGCCAACCAGCAAGCAAAAGAGCACGATTACGAGGAGCTTGACAAGTGCCGGAGAGATATTAAGCGGAGTTACAGTTTCCAGGAAAAGACGAAGCCTCCTCCACTGCCTCCCAGGCGGCCGAAGTCCTTCTCTCCTGACCCGTGGGCGGAAGAGGCTCTGTCCAAGTCAGGTACTCTCAAGAAAATCTTTGGTCTTTCATTTCAAAGCAAATCTCATTCCACAGAAAGCATGCTCGATGTGAGCTCAGGATATGATGATTTGTCCACATTAGGTAGTGAGGATATGGCCATGGTGCAGGCCCTGGGCACTCTGCCTAGAGTCAAGAAGAAACCCGTTGATAGACGAGAGCGTCAGTCAAGCCGTTCAGCATCCCCCAAAATGTCGCCAAAACAGAAGGCAAGATCTCTTTTTGGTGTTTCCCCGAGTAGGTCCCCCATGATTCCTAGGCCCAAACATCTTTTTCTCTTTAAGGGTTCTGGCAAAAATGATACACAGACCTCACCGTTGTCTAAGCCAGGATTTAGACTTCACCGTCAGTTTTCTCTTCAGGGTCAGCGGACGCCCAGCACGGACAGCTCCCTCGCGGACGCCTCCACGCCAGAGACGCCCCAGCAGCAGCAGCAACAGCAGCAGCAGCAGGCGTGTCAGCACCGGCAGTACTGGCGTCCCGAGGCTTCCAGTGGTCCCCCTGGCGAGCCTCCCGACGCAAGTGAGGAGGCAGCGGGAGGACATGCTGGAAAAGACTCTTATGCTTTCCTCAAGTCACCAAAGTTAATGTCAAAGACTTTTAGCTTCTTAAAGAAATTCCCTAAAGAGAAAAGCGGCTCTTTAGAGAGAAAACGTAAGTCGGGCATTAACTTTTTACCACCCCAAGATCTCTCCACAAAGTTCCCCAACAGTTATTCCATGGACAGTTTCGCGGTAGACAAAGGGTCCCAGAGCTGCGGGACGCCCGTCAGGGACACGGACTCGGACTGGGCGGACGCCGACGTCGTCCCCGGGAGCAGATTGCGCTCCATGTCCTATTTGCCGCCTTCCTCGCCAGCCATAAGGATCCCCTTCCACTCCCACCACGACTCCGTGACTACCACTCCTGCGGGAACTCCCACGGGCCACTCCTTCAGTCCCCTTCGGAAACTAAGCTCCCCACAGCCCCCGACGGATCCCTCTCTGTGGAGGGACGAAGGGGACTGCTGGAAGGAGTGCGACTCTCGCCTCCTACCTGGTGGGTTCCCACCTCCCCCTCGGGAGCCTCCGCCTCCCCCCGCCCCCCACGAGCCTCACTATGCCAACCTGCCCCACCACACCCACGACCAGGACTACATGTCCATGGACGAAGTTCGAGGGGCCTACAGGAGGATCTCGAGCGCCTCTGTCGGCGAGGCAAGAAGAGACAGCGGGGGCTACCTGTCCATGGGCGAGATCCGCTCCTTCCGGGCAGGCGACACCCCGGACTGCCCCGGCTGCAGCCACGCGCCGGGCAGCATCACGCACCACGACTGCCACCCGGAGCGCGAGGCCATGCCCGAGGACCACGAGTACATGACGATGGATGACATCCAGACCGTACTCCACACGGAGTTCCCGGGGATCTACTCCTCGAAGGAGGAGAAGGAGCTGTACAAACACTGCGGGTACAAGAGCGCCCCCGCCAGCCGCAAGACCTCGTACTCCGAGGGCTCCGATTACCTCACGCCTCAGGAAGTAGGGCGCATGATCCGGAGGGAGGTCCTGGCGATACGCCGAGGAGGCCGAGAGGTGCCCGTGGAACACCCTCACCACATGCACGCGCACGCGCACACCTACGACCCTCACCACCACACAATGGATCCCCACCTCCACCAACACGACCCCCACCACCACCACCAACACGACCCACCTCCTCACCACCACCAGCAGGAATCCCACGTCCACCACCACGACCCCCAACACCCGCAGTATCACCACCACTAACACCACCAACACCTGGAAAGGCAACACCACCATCAGAAGACAAGCCAAGGCCACTCGACGCCACCCTGGCTCACTCTGCACAAAGACGCCTCTGGACTCTTACAATTCTTTGGCCTTAAGATCACCATGCTCATGAATATGCATTGTGTGCTTCTTTTTTACATATATACATATATATATAATTCCCTTGCAACTTATCAATGCACCGTTATGGATATATATATACATCTCTATGTATATATAGTTATACTAAATGTGTATGTGCTTCGGATGGATGCACATACGAAACCCATGGAAGAAGAGGTACGAAAAGGTACTTAAGATGTTTGTTTGTTTTTTTAAAGATCTTTGGAAGACTTTGACTTTCCCCGTTTGAATCTACAGCGATGGTGCCAACATTCCCCGTGCCAAGACTCATAGCTGTACCGAAGCTCAAGTCATACTAGAGAGTGTACAGTTTAGAATTATCTACCATAGACATAATTGTCTGAGACAAGATAGGTATTGAAATTCCTCGATTATTTATTTCTGGTATTCGGTTTTTGAGATCATTTATAGCTGAGAATACCTGTGCTTTGTCTCCACCAATGCTCCTTCCTCTATCATAGCAGGTACGAATATGTCATAATTTTTTCACAACACTTGGTATATTTAGATGGATTTCCATTTGAGTATAGATTAGCTTTGTAAATTTTATGTGACACAACGACCGTAGGATTTTAATATACAAGCTTTGAGATGTTTATATAGACCTTATCATGTCCTCAGATATTTTGGATTGGTGCAGTATCCCCTCGACTCAATACTAGTTTGTTCCATTCTGTTCGTCGTGAAGGTGCCAGGCAGAAGTGGCACTTGTGAGGAGGGTCAGTCAAGAGTGAAAGTGAAAGTGTGAATAGGTTTCCAAGAGTTTTTCTATTTCTCTCTCTTCTCTCTCCGAGTGTGTTTTGGAGATGTATCAACACAGATTTTTCAGATACTGTGTATCACTGTTTGTTTACGTTCATATATAATACCCATCGCTGCCTTCATTGTAATAACCGTGAATTTCAGAAAGTTTTCTACAAAGTCTTTGGAAGTGAAAAAGTCATAGTTTATACTCGCCTTAAACTGTTATAATGTTATGATATGATTTAAACTTGTACGTATTGAAGATTGTGAAGGATGTCGATTAGTCAGCTTAGTCAGTCCTAAGCTGAGTAGAACTGTTGCCTCACTTCCTCCGTGATTTAGCATTGTTGTGTGATATTATGCAGAAGAAAATGAGGATAATTTTAAAGCCTTTGAACTCCTTTTCTCTCAATGAACCAAAGATCTTAACGCGTTGTGTGTACGATGTTTCGACTTTCATTAAGGAAACGCAGACCTGCCTTACGAAACGGAAGTGAGATCAGTATTAATAGATATGTAAATCAGACCCAACTGTGCCAATCGACTCCAGTAAAACTACACTTCAAAGTGCCAGGCTGACCCACACTGCCTTTACGTGCAAAGTGCCACTCTCGCCTGTAACCTCACCATTAGGACGTTTTTCTCGGATAGCATTTTGTGTAGAGCAGACAACCAAGAGGGGTGGGTGTTGTCTGTGTATTGCGTATCGTTAAAGGGTGTCTTCTTTGGGTATCCCACGATCTGGTCCCTTGTTCATTATTAGTTAAGTGAAGAGAGGTGGTCTACTAGCCACGAGCAAGGCACGGGTTGCTTTGCTTGTGACGAGCGACGCATGGTCTGTTGCTGGCTCCTCTGCTAGCCACGTTGGACCACCAATCAGCTGTCTTTCTGAGATGGACCAGATGCAGCTAGTGATGGGAAGGGAAGGAAAGATTTTTTTCCCCGAGAGAACCTGATAGGTCTCCGGGAAAGACCCAAAGGGAGCAAGGGGGAAGAGTTGTCGGTGTCTGCACTCCATGTACTTTTTTTAAAAATCCAATCTTAAATGTGTATACCCTGTAAGTGGCTAGGAACACTGCCATGTGCTACTCCAGAGACAATACTACAGATGTACATTTTATTACTGACGTATTACTGATAGGTTGAGGTAGACCATTTCGTTCGAACACGAGGAGGGAGTCTCGAACACCATGACTTCTGAGACGAAGCCGGCGCCAAGCCAGGACGGGCCAACAGATCGCACAATACCCACACAATATGGTGTGACCCTACATTGACCTTAGGGCATTTTCTCTTGTTTGACCTTGTGACCTTCAAGGTGACTTCCATTGCCAGTTTGAAATGTTTCGAAACGTGATTTCGTGCGCCGCTCACTCCCGAAAAAATGCAAATGATGAATAACTCCGGAAGTCACAACCACTGCCTGGGTGTCTCTGGTGTCATTGATGTTGATTGTGACTTGCTTCGTGTTGCTTCGGTTGTTTTGGCATAATTATTGGTGTATTGTTGTTTCTCTCTCTCTCTCTCTCTCTCTCTCTCTCTCTCTCTCTCTCTCTCTCTCTCTCTCTCTCTCTCTCTCTCTCTCTCTCTCTCTCTCTCTCTCTCTCTCTCTCACCGCCTGCTACTTCACACCTGTAAACTCCATTATGCTTTTTTTTGTTTCACAATTATCAGTTTCTACTTTTCTCTATCCTTATAACCCCCTTTTCTTTTCTTCTTCTTTTGTCCCCATTTCTTTCTTTTCCTCCTCAATCTCACTCCGACTACCATGCCGTTGTATCAATCACAACACTAGTGTCAGCAGTCTGGTATCCAGACTTATTACGTCAGCGCACATTTCCCTTGAATGAAACCGTGATCGCGTGGACGCCAGCCTCACCAGAGCGCAGAATCAGCTGTTCTTTGCGTCCATAGCACTCTGTCATGACATCTCCACACAGCTGATCTAGAGTTGCCTGATAGGGATAATCCGTTTGCAAGGTGTCTGTTGGAAAAGGAAGTTCGTCGTTCTGTTTGGTGGCTGTTGTGAGTGAGCAAATGCATTTAGGAAATGAGAGTCCTCATGATGAAAGTCGTACGTTATACATGTGTGGATGCATGCATTCACTGAATCAGATATGCGTGTCCATACAAATGTACACAAAACACACACACCCACACACGCGCGCGCGTATGCACATATGACAACTATACACCTGTAAAACCGCAGCAAAGACCCCAGCAGCTGCACACGACCACTCCCAGCCTTCCACCATCCCTCTGCCATCACCACTGTGTTGTTCCACCCTTCCTCAGGTGGTGTTGTCACCTGCCAACCGCACGGAGACAACACCGACGAGGTGAGGTATTGCAAGGAAGCCTCGAGGGTCTCGTTGTGTGTGTACAAAATGGGTTGTTGTTTTTTTTTCCTACATCCTGGTTGGACGTGGCATTCGTTTGTTGTTTTTTCAGTGTATATTTCGTGTCTGTTGATTCCCGGAGGAGCTGACTGTAAAACCCTGACTGACGACTCTAATATATATACATTTTTTATCTTGGCATCATTATCAGTGGTGACTACGAGACTAGCTGTAAAAAAGAGAGAATTCATGCGCAGGCTTAGAAGAAGAAAACGAACAGAAACGAAAGTGAAACGAATTAAGAAAGAGAGAGAGAAGGCCATAGGCAGTGACTTCCCAAGCGTTCGCACGCCACCAGCTGTGAATGGCGTGTGTTTACAACGTCCTGTTATCAGCTGATCTTGAAGGCTCATCGCTAGGTTTATGAGATGTGTTGACGGGCGTGATCAGCCTCGACGACCTTGACCCAAACTGACTAAGAGCTCAACAGACTCCTCTCGCCCATTTGTAGATCAGCTGTTATTCTTTTGATTACTCACTCTCTGTTGTTCGGAAAAAATAATGATATATATCCCAAAAAAGATAATGTTTATAGGTCTATTTGAGTGTATGTTTAAAAAAAAAGCCCAAATACCCCTGACCTGATGTCTACTTCCTGTGTAAACGAGACAATGGGATCTGATGAACCAAGAGATGTTGAAAGACACACTGCAGCATTGCAAAACCCGAACCCACTCTCGGCCAAGGCAGTCTTCGCGGAATCCCTCGCCCGCTCCCTTCTGCGTCCCGAAGGGGTGTTCCTCCCGCGCCCTCGGTCCTCGTGACGCCCTGTGGCCTCCGGGGGACTCCTCCAGAAGGCGCAGGGAGACTAAGAGGGCGGTCTAAGAGGCCTGCTAAGACTGCGGCGACGCTCTTGGACTCCTCTTGAGGGTCTCGTGCGCCGGGCGAGTCATGTACCAGCGCGACTCCGGCCGGCGAAGGGGGAGGCTGCCCCGGCCACCGAGAAGGGGGGCGGGGAGGCAGAGGGCGCCTCAAGGTCGAAGTACAGTGTTGCATTCGCGTGTTTTACATGCAGTACAAGTACTGTTTCTCTCCCCTGGACGTCGCGTTAGTTCGTCTCTCCGAGGGAACCAAGTCCAAAGAAGTGAAAAAAAAGGGCGGAAGACACGCAGGACGACGCCCAAGGAACGCAATCTTCGTCGTCTCAAGACGTCAACGTATATGACGTCATCGCCAGAGTCTCCGGAACGAACGAACGAACGAACTCGGACGTGATAACACCCCACCACCCCCCCCCCACCTCCCGCTCCCTCCCCCGGCGGCTCGCCAGTCCCCGAGGGCGCCGACGGTGGGCAAAGACGACCGAAAACCATTCATAAATATACATAATATATATATATATAATATGTCACACTCATGCCGGACGCGCCACCTGCTTCGGAAGGCTCGACGTAAACAAGACACTTCGGATGTCGCGAACTGAAAGATAGTAAGTGTTTCTCCCAGTGCTTTTTAGAAATCACATGTGTTGATGGATATTGTCCGGATGCCAAAAAGGAAATAAAAAAAAAATACTGTCCTCCGATTTCTTAATAAAAGAAAAATATTTCGTTTCGTCTTTGTAATTTATCCTCTGGAGGTTGATGTTGACGCTATTGGGGGGGGGGGGTTTGAATTGTTTTTGATACTCCCTTTTCTCTCTCTCCTCTCTCTCTCTCTCCTCTCTGCTCTCTTCTCCTCTCTCTCCTACTCTTTCTCTCTCTCTCTCTCTCTCTCTCTCTCTCTCTCTCTCTCTCTCTCTCTCTCTCTCTCTCTCTCTCTCTCTCTCTCTCTCTCTCTCTCTCTCTCTCTCTCTCTCTCTCTCTCCTTACCCTGTCCTCTAGCTCTCTCCCTCTTCCTCTCTCTTCTCTCACTCTCTCTCTCCCTCTCTCTCTCTCTCTCTCTCTCTCTCTCTCTCTCTCTCTCTCCTCTCTCTCTCCTCTCTCTCTCTCTCTCTCTCTCTCTCTCTCTCTCTCTCTCTCTCTCTCTCTCTCTCTCTCTCTCTC